TTTTTGTCCTTGAGAGCACATAAAAATATTGTCAACCTTTTCAATTAAAAAGCAAAACATTTGAAACTAGAGGCTTGGAAAATAGGCGGCAATGAAAGACTAATAACCACAGCCTAAAATCAAGTTTAGCTAATAATTTCGAGGTAAGCCCTTAAGCGTTTATGGTTTCAGTTTTTCTCGTTTAATCAAAAAAACCAAACGCTGATGTTTATTACGCTGATTGCGAACTTATTTACGAACAGTTTGTACTGAATATCTCACAGATTGTTTTATCTCAATGCAATATTTTTCTTTTTGTCTGTTTTCGCTTTTCATAGCATCAGCGCTTGGTTTGCATAAATGTTTATATTTCATTTCTGGTCACGAGGATTTCGGAAGTCATTTATTGGAGACTTTCATTTTGACAACTTCATTTGCAATCGCTAGATCAGACGCGAAAGAAAAGAAAGTCGGTTTTGGCGCTGGAAAAGCCAAACTTGCCGCCAGGCGACTTATACTAGTAAAACTTCATTCCAAAAACTGTTCGAACGGGAAAGATTTTTTAATGATCCGCGCGAAGCTTAACAGAAATGGACCCAAAACGGAAAAACAGTGGATCTTGCACGTTAAGAGGTAAAGAAGCTTTACTTGAATGGAGTAAGCGGCAAACTGTTGGATACAAGAACGTTCGTGTGTGTAACATGACGACCTCATGGAGGGATGGACTAGCATTCTGCGCAGTAATACACCGTTTCAAGCCGGACTTCATGTAAGTAGACAAATTTTTTTCTTAGTTTATCCTTACTATTTCGTTCAGTTTGTAATTACAGTAAAACCGCATTTTGATTTGAATATGAAAAGTATGAATTTGGAAATGTCATCAATTTTGTTGCTTTAGACGTGAGACAGTTTGTTTGAGTGATGACACACAAATTTACAAGAAATAAAATTCTCAAGACGTTCAACTTGTTATTGGACCCAGTAGACTTACGTTTCATCTAGTATTTGAAGGTGAAGAATTTAATTTACTTGCCAGTTCTCAATTATGAGTTTTTCTACCTCGATACAACAGCCCGGATGTTACAAGAAGGAAAAGATTCGACGAGTTTTATTTATTTATTGTCCTTTCCGTGAAAGTGAAGTGTTTCAAATTCCTAATGTTGCGAGACGATAACATATTTTGCCGGAAAAAAATTCAGATGTGTGCTGTTTATGTCTGCAGCAGCTGGTAGATAATTTCAAAGATAATCATATGCTGAAATATACGAACGCTTCCAAAGTACTTCAGACGTAATTCAAAGAAGACAAATGATAACTCTGTTTTATTAGCATACACTTTTATGAACCAAGAATGTCGGAATTTGTTACAATGATAATAATAATAACAAAATGATAAGTTCTGGAAAATGGTGGGCTCTATTTAAAATACACCTCTTCAGTGAATACTGAAGCAAATTCAAACATAAACTTGATATTTTAGAACATCACATAATTCCACATGAAGCGTGATAAAATTCAAAGACCGTGTGCTTTAAATAATAATTCAATGCCTGCCGTTCATTGCGGCAGCCGGTAAGCTTTAGTCGTTATTCCAGTTCTCCAATTTGGAAAGAAATGAATTTTGGTGTTTCAGAACAACGTATGATTCGATCTGAAACGAGTTGGAAAGTGAAACAATGATGTCACTTTTCAACGCTTCAAGTTCATCAGCTACGCTTTACAGTCTAGTTCTGCGGTTTCTTTGGTCTATCTAGTGTTACTTCATGATGCGGTTGAACCAACTGTCCACTGATTTGAACAAGCACTCCTCACCTTACCTCCCTACTGATTGACGTAATTTCCTTCAATGCTACTTCTGAAACATTTGTGTTAGTTGATGATTTTATAATTTCTCTTTACCTGTCTGCATGACAATGTATAGCTGTCGTAAAGAGAAGTTGCGTTTTGATAACTGCTGAAAATTCTAAGGTTTAACACTGAAATCTCTCTATATATATTGTCACGTTTTTCATTTGGATACTTGGGTGTGAAAACAGAAAAAAATATTAACATTTTTCTGTTTGGCTAAATGGTTTTAGAATTGGAATTTCAGTTTTTACATGAACTGGACATGAATCAACTTGCCTATTATTATTATTTATTTATTTATTTATTTTTTTCAGCGACTTTGAGAATCTCTCCAAGGATAACATGATAGAAAACAACAACCTGGTAAGATTAACAAAGTATTTAAGATAAAACTTCTTATCTACATCTTTGCATACGAACACTTAAAAAGACAACTGCCTCGAACACAATCTCAAACCATGTGTTATTACAAAACGTGTGAATTGTGTTTTTGCGTTAAAACTATAGTTGATTGATAGCTGTCACTTTTGGGACCATGTTGGTAACTTGATAATCTTTTAAGTGATCAGTATTTTACGACTTGCAGATAATATGTAGTTGTGAATATTAAAGTGGTATTCATATTACTTTAATTCGATAATGTATGAGACTAAATAAGAAACACTGAATGATCACACCGTATCATGACACTTTCAACTTTTGATGTCACGTAGTCACGTAAATGAACTGATGGCAATAACAGTAATTCTTTATTATATTATTAATTTTTATCGCAATTTGAACTATGCGGAGGAATACTTTTCTACAATTTAATTTGCTTTGACTCGGGTCTTTGTAATTAAACATGACAGGCCATACAGCTGCTAGCACTAGTGTTCATGTTTTGCTTTAAAAATATTTTATTTAACGCTTCGCCAAGCTGAAACCAGGATAACAACTGTAGCCGAATAAAATGGAATTATTTTTGCAGGCTATCAGTTCCTATAGAGCGTTTTCACTCAAGTGGCCAGCAGCCACGCAAATGTATTGGACGAAAAGAAAGTGTTTAGATAAGAAAAGAGTTCAACTCCCACAGGAAGGTTTAACCAACATGGCCCCCGTTTCATTTTTTTGGAACACCAACATGGCTGGCGTGACGCCATATGACAACAGTCTATTGTGATGTGAGACGGCACCTGGCATTGTTAGCACCGCCATCCGATGCCTGCAACACAAAAAAACCCTTAGGATATTGCAAGGCTTGTCAACTAGCTGAGAAGAAATTGTGCTCTTAATTTGCCTGATATCTCCGTGAGACATAAACGAACCATCCTGGGCTAGGAAAGGCAACAATTATAGTCGTTTACAAGATGACACGCCTTCTCCTCTGTAAAACTGTAGATTGGATCCCTTCCACATATACTCGCCATGAAAACAACCTGAACTGTAAAGAAAAACTCTATATGAAAACTTTAGTTTTCACTCCAGAATGTAAATTTTGTTTCGTTACCAGGCCTTCAAGGTTGCGGAAGAGCAGCTTGGTATCCCAGCCTTACTGGACGCGAGTGATCTGGTATTTATGGATGTCCCGGATGAACAGAGCATCTTGACTTACGTTTCCTCGTTGTACTGTCACCTTAGCGACATCAACACTTCAGGTAAAAAGAAACACCAACCTTGGAGATGTAGAGGCATTTCTTGCCTACTGAATAGATATTGCACAGCCCTTTTTCTTCTTCCTTAGCTCAGATGTCGTGTTTTGAAAGAAACAGTTATGGCACCAGGTAGTGTCAACTAATTTAATGTGTTGTAGCCTCTAGCTAAATATCTATTTTTAGACCAGTACTACGATTCACCATCAGTCGATGACGAACCCTATTCTCGCAAAAAGAACGAGAGTAGCAGAGACGAGACTCCTGGTTGCTCTTTTTTTTGTTATGATGCTGGTCGAGGTTGCTGAAAACAAACTCAAAGAAATGAGTGGATAAACAGCTGTTTGGACAAAGGTTGATCCACAAAAACGTAAAAGCGTACGTGCCATTGCCGATTGGTATTATGGGTATTATCTTTGCCTGGTTGAACGCTTAGTCGAAGTTCACGGTGTTTCAGCAATAAGAAAGGGGAAGCATAAATACACGTGCTTGTGCTGTTTCCTTCTATTACGCTACTGAAACACCCTGAGCTTCAATCAAGCAACAGGAAACCACCGTCACCCATAATTCCTTTTGACATTGCCGCGTTCGCTTAATCGCTGTTGTAGGACAACCTTTCATTAAAACAGATGTATAAAAGCAAAATAATGATTTTTTTATTTCACACTGTTTATTCTTTTAATCCATAGAAGACGCAACGGAAACAAACAACAATACCAACAAAGCAGGTAAATTTTCAGCTTGATTTTTTTCTTCTGAATGTTGGTAAATGTCGATTTAACGCAAGAGGCTCACCAAGATTTTCGTAACGAACTATTCAAAAACTGATTTCTATTCCAGTCGATTCCGTCGGAAAATTTCCCAAATATTTTGTTTGATAGAATTGTGTCGCTTGTCATTGTAAGAAAAGCAGTCGCTGCTAACTTACATAACTCTGTTTTTTTGTTGTTGTTGTTTTTTTTGTCCTTTACAGGAAAACCCAGACGACACTTGTTTGATATTCTGGCTGACGAGGCGTACAAACGGCGTTTTAAATTAAGACAACGTGAGATAATCGAGGAAAGCGATTCCGAAATAACTGCCTAAAAGTGGACAAACAGAGGAGTTATTTTATAAACACTAGAAGACGATATTTCAATTTAAGTTCTGGTCTGAATCGAAATATACGTTTTTTCAAACTGTTTCTACTAAATGTTACACCAAAAGTCTCATACCATATGCTCCGCGTAGAGTTATTTTCGTAAGTCTAGAGAGAATGAAGTGTAATCATAATAAACATGAAACAAATCGTTGCATTCGAAACGCAGTTTGCATAGCAGCCCCAGGGTAGGGAGGAGGGGGCAGTTGTCCTTTCTTAATTAGCTGCTGAATTTAAGGATAGATTTCAAGCGACTTCAATTCCCAGACTATAGACTGCATTCTTAAGAATATATTTTTGAAATGCAAAGCAATTGCAGTCAAATGAAATAATACAAACGTGCAATACAACGAACGACATGATATTCTTGATAGTCTTGATAGCACTTCATGTAACATGATTCTAAAAAAGCACATTATCACGATTTCAGATGATCACATGATTCGGCCTGAATTTTTTAGGAATATTCTAACTGTCCGCTTTTTACTCTTGTGTCATATAAATTTTTGTTTAAAAAAGACGAAATGATATCCGAACGTGTCTTGCATGGCTTATCTTTCGTTCTCTTTCCATTCGACCAAAAATTCCGGTTTGCATCTTTGGAAATTTCCAGTGGCAAATGGGACAGCGTTGGACAACCTCGGGAGCTAAACCAATTCGAAAATTTCTTACCGGACATTTCTGTTCCATTTGATTTTCATCTGGGAATTTTCGGTTAAATTGTTTTCTTTTCGGAAGTTAATAATTTTCAAATTTTCCGAAAACCTTCCAACAAAATTTCCGTACCATTTGCCCCGTTTCGAAAGTTCCGGAAGTTTTGGTTGAATGGAAAGCGTCCCAGGGAAACCCTGGGGTGTAACGCCGGACTTGATATCAAGGGAGTTTAATTCAAATGACGAATCATCGTTACAGCTCTTTCTAAAGGCACGAGTCTTAGATTTTAAAGTCACTGAGGTTTAATACCGTTGCCGAGCTTGTAACATAACTTTACTCAAGCTGTTTTTATGACAGCAGAAATTATTATGAGTGCTATGCATTAAAAGTAAGTTTTCCAATACGTCTGGTTTTCACTTTAGTTCGGTTACATGTGCCCTGGTTTTCAATTCAGCCTCATTCGTTTTCCCGGTATTGGGCTGGAACTTCAAGCCTCGTCACATTTAGATGAAACACATGCAAAATGTTTTGAATTTCGATCATAGCAACTAGTAAAAAAGTGTCAAAATTAAACCTCCGTTCATGGGCCTATGAGCTGGGAGGGCGAGGCGGGCTGCAGACCCCCCCAGCTACGGAAATTATGTGAGTTTTTGGGTAAAACGCTAAATTATTCGAGAAAACATTACAAAATAATGCTGTTGGCGTAATTTCCAAAACTCTTAAA